CCTCATATTTGGGCTTAAAATACAACAATCTTCTTCAAACTTGCACAAAACAAGAATAAATTAGAAAGTAGTGATGGAAGAAGGAAGGATGACCATTGTGGGGGGTTTTTAATGGAGGACTTGATCCCATTTTACGATGCTAACTTTGTTGCTAGTTGATCCTTTGATGCTTAAGAAATACAACCCAACCAATGAAAGACTGTTAGTCTGTTGGATTGATGAGAGTCATGTAGATGTAGCAAGGTAGGCTCTTTATCCATTGCTGGGAGCCAAGAAGATGTAACAACAAATGTTTTAATAAAGATCATGACCGTCACAAACATCCAGCCATGTTATAGAGACAAATGTAGTTGCATTTGGCCATATATATGAGAAAAATGTCGAAGTAGATGATGTCTGTCACATTCCTAGCAGAGTGGTTGAGTGCCGTTTCTAGCGATGCTGACTCCATTATGGTCATCCACATAAAATAGAATATAGCATGTATGATATGAAATAGATCATGTGGGCCCTTTTCAATCATAAGTCCAAAGTTGGTCTTGCTAACGTAGCGCTACACATATTGTAGATTCCAAAGCATTGCCAATTTATCCCTCAATACTAAAGTGAGATCTCACATGAAAATTTTGATTGATGGAGAAGATGAAATTAATCAAAATAAAATTCAAACATTAAATTCATTAAAAAAAAGGGGGAGAGATTTGGATTCAATTAAAACCCAAATTCAAAGGTAAATACAATGGATTTAAAACTAACGAACATAGACTTCTATCCTTAAAATCTAAAAATTGTACAACCTTTATCCTCAAGTTTCTTTGCAACTAAAAAAAAGGGAAGTTACACAAACATTAGTTTTTGTTTTGAGGGAATTCAACTCAATAGTCACAAAACTAGTGACTAATAGTTTAGAATTAAGGGAAAAGTATTGTTGTTATTTGAGGAAGGTGCAAGATCATGAGATTGAAGAGTACAAGATTTTGAGAGAAAAATCAACTATTATTCTTGGCTCCAATGACAGATTAAAGGTAGGCAAATGGATTGGGAAATTGATGTGTACTATGAAACATTGGGATTTTGATTATTAGTCCACCACCAAAGTGTTGGTCAGATCTGTAGCTTTAATCCAATGCCTACATCACCAGATCAAGGCTAAAAAGCATAAAGGAAAGAGAGCATTCTCATTGCTATGTTATCCAAATTTCATAGCCTTAATGTTAGATCAGTGCACTCAAAAGCAAGGGAGAGGTGGAGAAGTTGAGAAGTTCTAGTTTAGTAAAGAAGGAGAGGGGAGAAAGGTGATTCTAATCCATGAATACCCTCAAAGTCATCTTCTACTTCCTAATTGATTGGAAATTTGAAGGTGGTGGTATATTTCTTATGGAATTTATCAAGTGCAAGTCTTCTAATCTAGGCATTTGACCAAAAAATGAGCAAAATATTAGTGTAGATTAGCCAAGTAGGTCATGGAGGTTAGGGAAGGTGTGGAGTGAAGCAAAGAGCAATGAGAGAATGGATGAAGGTGAGGGCAAATAGATATTTTTAATATAATTTAATTACTGAATAAATTTAAGTGAATTGTAATAGCAATTTTATAATTAAACAATCAAAAAGGCTTATGTATTGAAAATTTGGTCCACCTCATCTTTTTTGGCTGCGTGGTATTTCCACGACATTTATGTGAAAAGAAAGAAAAATCATTTTTTCAATATTTAATATAACAAGTAAAAAATTAGTAGAGGAATCAAAAAAGGGATTAAATTTTCAAATTTTAAGAATCAAAACAAAAATTTTTAAGTTTGAGGACCAACTCGAAATACATACAATAATTGAGGGAAGCAAGTTGGGGGTTCAACCTAAAAATTAGAATGGAAATCAGAACCAAATCTCTTGGGTTTGGGTGAGGACTGAGCAGCCGAACTTCATTCATGCTGGTTCGAAAGTGTCGGGTTAGCCAAAATTGCCTTGCATTGGGTGGTCAGCATCAGCATGGCGTAACCGGTTGTCTTATATAGCCATCGCGCGATTGCATCGCCTGTCCCCACCCAACTCGTTCGAAAACCCTCCGAGATCTGTACATTTCCGTATCCAAAATCCACACGCGACCGGCCGGTTTTACGATTATAAATTACTGAATCAGTACCACTGCTGTTGTACCCAAACAAACCGAACTAAAACTATACCAAGAGACGACGACGTTATGGCACTCAAGAACTCGCCGGCAATCCAATCTGAATCAAGGGTATATACTTAGAAACATCATTTCTCTGCCCTTCCTATTCATCCGCTAAATTTTTTTCATTTTCTTCTTCAATTCAATTCTGTTGGGCAGAGAAAAACAACGAAGGTGAGGAGTTCCAAATGCAAGGCAGAGATCAGTTGTTCAGCACTCTCTCCTCAACATGTCTTCGCAGATTCCAATGCTATTCAAATTGGTGAGGGTTTCTTTATGGGTTTGTTTCTTTGGTTTTGTCCAATGGTAGAATCTCAACCCATATCTTTGGTTCTTTTTTTTTTTTTGGAAAATTTTTATTTTTATTTAATTTATAAAATTACAAAATTAAATTAAACTAACTTTTATTTTTAATTATTAAATTTAATTAAATAGAAAATATAATTAAATTTCAAAATTGTTTAGTGCAGCCCAGCCAGCTTCTCATTCAAAAGTCTTTTAT